ATATATATATATATTATACATATACATATATTATACATATACACACACACACATATATATATAATACTGTCTTGCCACCGTATGATCTGCTTGGCGTTACAGTCAAACTTGTCAAAGCCAAAGGGATCAGGGAAAGATTGTCTTCTTAGACAAGACTTAGTGGTTTTCTTACACAAAAATCATGGTGTCAAGACCAGACAGAGACTCAACTTCAACTGTCTTATTTTTCAGATCAAATGGAGACAGAGACAAAAGCAGGTAAGCTGAACTTTCCGGTATTTACTGGGTACACTCATACTTGCTGTAACATACCCATGAACTGCCGTGAAGTGCTGCATCCATACATAACAAGATGTCATTTTAAGTAGGTTGTAGATATATTTTAAGTACCTTATTTTGGAAAAGGTGGGACATTACGTCTTCCATGGTTTACAGAAGAGAAGTCAAACCCTTCAGACATAGTTTTAGAGTAAGTTAGCTGTCTAGAACTATGACTATGTCTTAGACATAGTTATAGTTCTAGACAGCTAACTTTATCGTGTAGACTTTAGTTATTTTATACTCTATTCCATTGTTCTCTTATGTTTTGTAATTTGCAATTAGCCTCCGGGCAAGAATTTGCAATAAACTTTTCGATATTATTTTGAACAATTTCAGAGCTCTTTAGAACGACAAGCTACTCATGCTATATCTAAGATGGAAACTCGGAAGTTCAAGTCCCTGGTGGGGAAAGGTTCTGCAGGAGATGTGGGGAGTGGGTCGTGCAGGAGGTGGAGCCCCCCAGCAGGCAGGTGTGGCTGGGAGCTGGATGGGCTGAGCAGCAGCTCCGGAGGCTGTCTGTGTGCCATCTGTCTGGAGGAGTTCCAGGATGGGCAGGTCAGGCTAACTAGGCTTACTACTGCGAGGGGATGTGTGTGTGTGTGTGAGTGTGTCTGTGTGTGTGTGCGTGTGTGTGTCTGTCTGTGTGTGTGTGTGAGTGTCTGTCTGTGTGTGTGTGTGTGTGTGTGTGTGTGTGTGTCTGTCTGTGTGTGTGTGTGTGTGTGAGTGTCTGCTGTGTGTGTGTGTGTGTGTGTGTGAGAGTGTCTGTGTGTGTGTGCGTGTGTGTGTGTGTGTCTGTCGTCTCGTGTGTGTGTGTGTGTGTGTCTGTGTGTGTGTGTGTGTTTGTGTGTGTGTGTGTGTGTGTGTGTGTCTGTCTGTCTGTGTGTGTGTGTGTGTGTTGTGCGCATCCATGCATTTATTACACATCAGGTTTTGATACTCAGATGTTGTAAATAATCATGTGAGGGCCTTAGTTCAAAATCTTGCTGTGACACCAATCTTGGGAAAGGCACTTTGCATGACTTTTCTCACTCCACCGGGGTGTGAAATTGGTACCTGGCTTTGGTTGGGAGGTACACATGAACATCTCAACAACAGTGGAAGGTACACATGAACATCTCAATAACAGTTGGACTCTGCCTTCCAGTTGAAGTCAACCTACTGCCCCTATGGCCTCATATTAAAAGGCTATGAGACTATGGAACTGAGTTTAATGGGGGTGCCCTAATTACGACCTACCCCTAATTCCGCACTAGTTTGAAAAATCCTTGTTGCGGCATTATGCATGGGAGCATGTGCCTTTGTGTTGATATCGGTAATCTCACAAAGTTTGTTTTAGTTCGTACACTCCGACAACAGTCGAGTGAAAAATCTGTTTGAATTTGATGCTTGTTCGGGGGTTGAGGAGCGTGTAAAAAATGCAGGTTTTACTTTTGACTAACATTTTAAAGAACACAGCAAAAACATTGTATGAAGAAAATGAAGGATATCCCTCTAGCTACAAATACAAGAACTGATAGAATTTCAATTTCTTTCAAGCCTCAAAGTTTAGTAAATTTTAGAGGGAAAAAGAATTTTCTGATGAAAAATGATGCCAAAAAATTGGTCATTTCCACGTGGAATTAAACCCATTACACATGATTTAGCCACCAAAATGATTGATATTGTCGGAAAGAGAAAATCCGTATGTATAATCAAAAATCCTAACACTGACATTTTCACAGTAGCCTGTTGCGCGAGGCATAGCGACAGCACCCACAGAATGCAGGAATGGTAAATCTGGGTCAAACCGAAGCACTGCACTCAAGGCAGACGGACACCCAGAAGACTAAGCATCGGGCCTGATATCAAATTTTACCTTCAAATCATTTCTTACACTTTGCAGCCATGTTAGTAGTTAATACCATTTTGCAGCAGATTATGAGAAACTCAAACCATAACCATTGAAACCCCTTTGTTACTTTTTTACCGCACACTACCACGGATCCCTCTAACTGAGGGAGAAATACATGTTAAGTGCCTTTCCCAAGGGCACAATGTCTGGGTGCATGTCCGGACATGTCTGGGTCCAACCCTGGGGATTGAACCTGGGTCCCCTTGCTTGACAGTCGGATACTTTATTCACTACACCACACGGATGCCACATTGTATGGTGTAGTGAATTAGACCCTTACTAAATCACTCCTTTTGAACTTGGCATAGATGACATTGTGCTGGATTGAAAGTTATCAGATAAACATCTTTACCTGGGGGCATCACAGTTATCAAACATTATTTAATAGTACAATGTAGATAAATAAGTATATTGAGCATTAAAATGTAACAGTTACAGTTATTCTAACAAACCTTTGTTGATAATTTTTCTTTTGTGTGGAAGTTTAGGAAAGTTTTCCCCTGAAGACATGATAGTGAATGTTCCAGTGTTGCTGAAAGAAAATGTTTCTGTTGTACAGGAATTGCGGATAGTCCCATGTTTACATGAGTTCCACAAAGACTGTGTTGACCCGTGGCTGCTGTCCAACAGAACCTGCCCGCTCTGCATGTACAACATCATAGGTAAGGGATTAATATTGTCATTTTGATTATTTTTCTCAAGCAGACGCTTGTGTGGGTCGTTGATTTTAGAAACAGCTGTGTGTTGCCCGTTGGTAGATGTTAGTAGCAATTAAGCTAATTACTTCCATATTAACATAATACATGCCCTGATTTACTAGATTACACATGTCACAAGAATAAAATGCCCATCATTTACCAATAAGAAATCATAGCATTTTTAAATTAATTATGCAAATTAGGTATTTATTGAATCTGTTTATGTATCATTACATGTATGTAATGATACATTGTATCAAATTCGTATAATGTACAAAGGGGAATTTGTGAATTTCCATATTAATTATGCAGTCTATTTGGAATTGATATGAAAATAATTGTGTATATAGCGGGATGATACCGTAATAGCTCCATAACTGTTGATGTTACACAACCTCTTTTACTTTCATTTTTACTTGATTGTATGATAGAATCGCTTACTGTGACAATTTTTTCCCTTTCAGATTGCCAGATTTCCAAGACCTTTTCTGTACCAGGATGTCTGCCAGATCAGAGTTTCCATGGAGACCAGAGTTCTTCCATAGTTCCCATGAGATTTCCTGCCCACAGAATGCAAACTGAGTCTCCCATGCACAGAAACAAAGGTAGTATACACAGGAACACAGCTGGAACCACACAGGCCCCAAGTTTGCTAGGGACTAGGGACTCCAGTGCTCACACGGTGTCAGAAGCATGGATGGGTAGTTTGTGCCAGGACAGTTCTGTGCCATGCAGCAGCAGTGTTCACCATCATCACCACCATTACTACCACCATGGAGACTTCCCACACTGGCCCAGTGGGCAGGTGGTGGCACCAGTCCATGTCCATGCCAGTCAGAACCACACACTCACGTCCTGGCGCCCCAACTCTGTCAGTAGTTCAGGGTATCATGCAGATGTAACCAGTTGTTCTTCCTTACATTCCAGTAAGTGTAGGTGTAGTAACTTCAGTAGTAGCAGCTCCGGGGACGTCACAGATGTTAGTAATCAGGGTATTTATGGCAGCACGTCCACCTTCAAGAGTGAGCTAAGTTCAAGCTCCAGAGACAATGTCTATGCTGGGAATGTTGCAAGCACATTTGACAACAAAGAAGAGATGTTTCCTCCTCATGGGGAACATGTAGCCACAGACGTTCTCCACTGCCAGACCAACAGGTGTAAAACCAAGACTCAAGATAGTTGTATCATAAATGAAAGTTCATCAGACTCAAGTCAGGAGTTCAGCAGATACAGTAGTGACTTATCCCTAGAGGATGCGTTAGAAAATGCCTTGAGGTTACAGAGAAGCTGTCGTAACTTTGCAACCCAAAGTACTTTGGAACCGTGCAGATTCTGTTTGGGAAGTTGTTCAGTCAGAAGACAGCTTTCCTGTACCAGACGAAGCAGTGCTGTAGAGAGTATAAACAAGAAGGCCGATGTTGGGAACTACAGAGGCACACGTGATGTTGCAGTGCATCAGTGCCAAGTCACCCTGACTACAGGGCCTGGATACCCAGCATGCAGTTCTCACCTCCAACCAAAAGGTCGTAGAAGTGTTGCTCCCAGGCCTGGGTCATGTCAGGAGCTGCCAACAAAGGAACAAGCCAGGCCTGGGGTCTGTGCACACTGCCAGAGGGAGTCCCATCAATCCATAATGGTCTACACAGGCAGGCCAGGTCAGTACCTCTACTAAACATCTCTTTCACTGCTGTCAAATGAAGTCTTGACCAGGCCTACATGTACATAGTGATGACTCAGCCTACATAATAGTTATCAAAGCAAACAAGGTTGTTTATGAGATGGTTATAGCAACTGACCATGTCTCATGATACCATATACAAAATGTACATTTGTACATCAAAAGTAAGGTTATGAAATTAAATGTTAGCCATCATCATATACATGAAACATTACCTGTATCAAACTGACACATGAGTGAGACAATGCGCTGTATGAAAATGTGCCAGAAGTTGATTAAATTTGGTGTCCTCCAACAAAAGAATGTAAATTTTAACATCAACAATTTCAGTGTCCTACTCCAGTATTAGAATTTTTGACAGTGCCACACCTGAAGAGTGTTCAAGTTATTTTATTGAAAAACAATCAAATTATTCTGTGCAATTCCAAGTCAATGAACATAAAGAAAAACTTGCCCAATCTTAAAAATGCAGAAGAACACTGTCAATACTTTCATACAACTAATAATGACTGGTGGCAAAATGCATTCGAATATTCGTCAATGTGATCTGACTATACACAATGTCATTATGCTATAATGCATAATTTGAAACATTTCATCTGTCTTCAATACAATTTTTAAGTTAATAAATCATTCAAAGATCTGAAGTCTTCGAAATTTTCCCACGCTTTTCTTATTGGTCAACAAGAAGTGTGTTGCTGCTTGAGAGAATTCATCCCCAAAATTTGGAGAACTCATCCTCACTACATCCTCACTACATCCTCACTACATCCTCACTACTTCCTCACTACATCCTCACTACATCCTCACTACATCCTCACTACATCCTCACTACATCCTCACTACATCCTCACTACATCCTCACTACATCCCTGGAAACACACGATTTGCTTTGAACTCTGGGATTGTTTAAAGAGCCAGGGAAGAACTCAGTAACAGTAAATTTGACAAAAACAAACTGGATTCAACTATAGCAATATACTCTGAGGAATTTTACTACCTGCTTCTGCAATGGAGTATATCTTTTACAAATAGCTTTGGAATTATAACAATGGTATACCTTCATGTATGAGAGAAGAAATGAAACTCAGATTTAAAGTAAGTGATAGTGGCATAACAACAGTAGTTGTTGTAGCATAACAACAGTAGTTGTTGTAGCATAACAGTACATGTAGTTGTTGTAGCATAACAACAGTAGTTGTTGTTGTAGCATAACAACAATAGTTGTTGTAGCATAACAACAGTAGTTGTTGTTGTAGCATAACAACAGTAGTTGTTGTAGCATAACAACAGTAGTTGTTGTAGCATAACAACTACTGTTGTTATGCCACTATGCCACTTTTACTTACTTTAAATCTGAATTTCATTTTCTCTCTCATACATGTATGTATACCATTGTTTCTTTTGATGTGCAGTTACATGTAGCCCTCAGGCAAGGATTCACCATGAATTTGATATCATTTGTCTTTCCCAGATGAACCGTACATCTCTGTTCCACTGCATGAGGCAGACCAGCGTTTCCTGAGGGGCGTGGTGTGATCTCCAGCGAGTCCGTTCTACCATGTGCAATTACTGAGTAGTAACCAAGATAGAAAAACCAAAACGTCTTAGGTGATTATCAGATAACCTGCAAAGCCTTCTTTAAATTTGTTTCATTTAACTTGTTTTTCATCACACATCATATTATTGCTGTGATTTTTTGTGCACTTATACATGTATTACTTCAGGACATGAGAGAGAGAGAGAGACGTACATGTACATGTATGCTCTGAGCTGAGCTACATGTACATGTACAACCTGAATAAATCACATTAAGACACCATACAATAAGAAGGTATTTCCAATATCAACATATAAAACTCCTATTGGTTATCCTTAATCATTAATATATAATCACAAAATGTATGTCAACTTTAATACAGCACACTACCTCCTTTACTTCAATATCACCCTATCATTCTCATAAAAATATACAGGTACAGTCTACATGTATGCACTGAAGCAATTTGTAGGCTTTACTAATTACTGAATGTCTAATAGAACATGTGATGTCCTTCTTACCAAATTGGGAAAAAGATATATCAGTTCATCCAAATTTAATGTGCACCATAACCCTAAATGCAGATCAGATTTTGCTGTTGATGGAATCTTTGGGTGTTGATACAAAAGAATGTACCTTTTTTCTCTACCATTTTTGTTACACAAATACTGGTCTGAGATGTGGGTGTCTATGAATAAGAAGTTTCATCACTGTGGTGCCCTTTAAGCAAGCCCGCTCAAATCCGGCTGGTAAACAAATGAAATGCTGGATTGTATCAAATGCATATGTAGAATGTGATTGGTAAAAGCAGGTTGGTAAGACAAAATACTGCAGTGTCTTTCCTTCAATATCACATAAACATCTCTTTCAGCTCTGAATTACCCTATATAGTCGGGAGGAAACTGCAACATTTGAGATAATTTAAAACCCATACAACTACAAGTCAACTATCACTTAGTAATGTCCTTGTCTTATCATAATTTTTGCTGTAAGAATGACTTCCATTTCCTTGGTGCAAGCCATACATTTTTCATTAATATTAATTATATATTATTAATTATCATGTAAAGCCTGAATTTCTGATGGGTCCCCATGTGTCACAAGAGACTGCCACAGTGATAAAGTCTATGCAGTGCCTTCAACATGTAACGTTGTACAATGTATGTGCTGCTTCTGGCAATGCGAAACCTGCAATTTATTTACTGTATACAGGATTTTACATGTTAGTTATTATTTTTCAGATTGGCACATACATGTACCAGTAAACATTTCTACCTATATAACATGTCATTATGATATCTGCGTACTTTAAGTTATCAATAAGATACATTGTAAGTTACTTTGTGTCAGCCATTTGTGCCTTTGTAAATGTAAGACTAGTTGTACACTAATAGTCATTACTGGTAGTGCATCTATTAAAGTTGCTCGTATTATCAGGAAGCTTCCATGGAAGTATGTATAAAATGAGACAATGTAAAATAAAGATGTTTTTTGTAACAATCTCTGCTCTGATTGTGTGTCTGGGCTCTTCTATAGAAACATATTAAGTTTTATTTGAAAGGGAGCATTGCTGAAGTTAGACACATTGTGTTGTTCCAACCACTAGTGTATAGGTGCTTCTTCACAGCTGAAGATCAAAACTCATGCATTGTAATGCGTTGATGAAGGCTAGATAATAATAATTAGGCCACAGCAAGTAATTTTTATGGATGGCATAAGTGCACACATTAATTTTCGCCAGATTTTGTAAAAAAAAACATTGTTTTGCCCTCTAACGGTGGTCAACATGCTGAAAATAGGCAAATATTATATATATGTACATGCCTAGTATAGACATGTAGGTTCGGAGACCATCGGAGATCCAGCAAACTTGAGCCACAATCATGGTCCTCGTTTGATCGCAAATGTTGCCACTGACATGTTCCATCGCATCCATCCAACCAGCATCACACACAGATATGTATGATGTTACAGCTAGCCATTTTGCTCGAATATCAAGTTTATTGAGGTCTTTACATATCTACAAGGACAGGCCTAGGTACATGTAATACTGTTGAATACAAGAATAAAAGATCTGTTTGGTTGTCATGTCATGTTTTGTCACCTAAATTCTTGTTTAACAAGGCTTATGACCTCAAAATTTCAAAATGAAAATCTTGTTTTTCGCCCACCTGTCTTTTTTCCCCTATCGCATTAGATTTAGAGTCTGCGGAGGATGCCATCCGTAAAATTTACTTGCTGTGGATCTTATGTATAAACATCGATGTAAATGGTATGTCTCGTTTATTGGATAGAGTGTAGATATAACTTAAAAGTCACATTTTTGTTACACAAATGCTAATTTTTGTGTAAAATTTGATTTTTACCCACTGAGAATGCAAATGACTGGATGATGAGGCAATATAGTATCACATGCTTTGTGCTGAACAAGGCAAGTTTCAGTTTAAAAATTTTACGTTTCCAGAGGGGTGTATATGTTTGTGTGTGAAGCATTTGTTCAGTCACTCAAATCCTGCAATCAAGGTCATGTGCTTTCCAAATCTTTAAGTCGTCATAACACATTTAAAGTACTACGCACAATTTGATCTGAGGTTACCATTTGTATTGAAACCCTGATATGAGAATTTTTTTAATTAGAACTGGACATGAAATTTAATGCTAACTTAATGCAAAGAATCCTCGAGTAACTTTTAATGGTTGTCTTAAGACAGCATCCAGCACAACAAGAGCATGAAACTGTAACTCAGTGTTTACTGATGGCAACTTTCTGTCACAGAAAACATATTGTCTGTAGCAAATTGTAAAAAAAATACAATGATGCAGGGTTCACAGCTTTCCCCTGTGCAGGGGTGGCAGCAGCCTTCCCCGCAGGTACCGGGCCTGGGTGGTGTACAGTGCTGTTGGTGCCAGACCAGCATCTCTGTTAGCAGCTGCCCTGACAGCACCAAGCCTGGTAGCTTCTGTAGTTTTAGCCACAATGGGGATCCAGTGTGGGGTAAAACCAAGTTGAATTTTCACAGACCCTTTCTGTGCATCTTTGACCTTGTTTTGCTGTTTGATGGTTGCATTAGCCTTACCTCGACGATTACTACGCTGTTGGTTTCCAGGTAATGTTACAATCATGGTACTAGTATTGACAGACTGAAAGGGTTGGGCAGTTCCTTGAGTGCGTCGTGGATCATTTGGATAAGAACGTGCTTTAACTCCACTTGTACCAGACAGTTTGTAAGACACAGGAACTGACTGCCGCCTGACCGAGGTTTGATGTCCCCTGTCTGCTGCAGGCTGGGAGGCGGGCCGCTTGGTCTGGACCCTGACAGGCCTCTGGTGGTCACAGTAACTTGAGTTGCCTGGCATGGAATGGCCCACTTTGTTGGGTGATGCTGTTTTCCTGTCTCTCAGTGGTCGATAGTCATGTTGATGGCAGCTTGTGGATGGACGGGGATTCGGTGTCTCCTTCCTATGTAAGTCTGTAACAGAACATTGTATTGGAAGGACTTGTGTTTGATTGACAACGGTGTGCGTTGGTTATTGGTGATAATCTATTCTATTCCTGCTTCAAAACAAACAAACAATTGAAATTCTCACCTCCATGAGTTTTTTTCCCTGGCTCCAATAAGACAACAGGCATGCATGTTGCAGGAAATTGAAGACGGGATATAAAGTTGAGCCCGACCTTGGGCCCATTTGAACTTACAGATGTGCCCACTTTGAAGTCTTTCACCTGAAATCAGTACCGGCTTGTGCTTTGTGCGTGCGTGCGCGTGTCTCTGTGTACATGATCTGTGTGTGTGTGTGTGTGTGTGTGTGTGTGTGTGTGTGTGTGTGTGTGTGTGTGTGTGTGTGTGTGTGTGTGTGTGTGTGTGTGTGTGTGTGTGTGTGTGTGTGTGTGTGTGTGTGTGTGTGTGTGTGAACAGCATACCTCGAGGCTTTGATGGATTGTTTTGATATTTGGTAGGTGGGTAGGTCTAGCCTGGTGTCCAGCCTGGTTAGCTTATTCCGCTCCCCACCAAGAAGACTTTGGCGGGTAGCAGACTAAAGCTAAAAAGACTGGACACCACGCTATTGTAGGTCTTGATGAGACCTCGAAATGATTAGATTTGGGGGCCCCGCGGCTTTTTATGGTACTGCAGCTGAAATTCCGATTTTGATATCTCGTGATCTGGACTTGCTAGGGTAATGATTTTTGAATGGTAGGTAGCTCTTGCCCTTGGGAAGAAGTGCCATCAATTTGAGCCGCCTGTAACAAACGCACCTGTAGTTTAAGAACTGCCGGTGCGTTCGTTACATATTTGAAGTAGGATAACTCAAGAACCGGTTGATGAATTGTCGTTTTATTGTGGTATGTAGTTAGCTTACGTGATGCTCGACATAATTAGATAGCAATTATGCAAGTCAGGATCTACTTTACATAATTAGTGACGAAATGTTATAAATGTGCTGTGTTCCATGATAGCACAATTCAGACTTGTGACATGTAGTTAAGAGGAGGAGGACCATTGGCAGATATTGAATATGCAAATTTGCGACCCAATTTACATTTAGTTTTACAATATACAATTTACAATATAGTTTTAAGAAGTAGACACCCTCTTTTCAACATCGTAGATGTACAACATACATGTAATGACAGTGCGCTGTATTTGGCAAACTTGCATACTAATCTACCTGTGTCATATTTGCAGACAAATCTGCCAGTTTTTATCTCACCTGGAGAACGATGTGTCCCGCTGGGACGTCCGTCCGGTCCGGTGAGCAGGCGGCGGGGGGAACCAGTCCTCACCGGCCGCCGTCCTGACTTCACCTGCATGTCACCAGTCTGGTCCGGCAAGGTCTGCTGGGTCTGATGCTTCCGTCTCAGCATCGTTATTTTCTACAAGGATAGAACCAGATCGCAACATCGGCATAGTCTACAGGGGCAGACATAATCTGATCACAATAAGGACATGCGCTTCAGGGAAGATATAATCTCAATATGTGCAGTAATGAAGGATTCTTAACCTTTCTGTGATTTTGCAGTGTTAAAATGATATCCCCTTCCTGCTGATCATGTCCTCGGAGCCAGGAGTGTTGAAGAATTTGTGCTGCATGTGGGCGTTTGGTCCAGTCCTGTTCCAAGATGTTGTACGCTAAGTCCATAGCATCTGACATAGCAACGGATAATATTATTTAATGTAAAACCTGTCATGTTTGCATATGTGATACAGAATCTGAGCACCTTGTTATGAAACATTTGGAAACATGCATTATACCAAATAAAGGAAAACTCACAGATTGGCAGGATTCGAACTCGTTCCGACCCGAACGCTCTGTCGTTACGCCACACGACCCCACAGATAATTAGATCGGCCAAGGACATGTATAAATACTATAATGTCCTTGGAGCGGCTAACGTCCAACGTGCCTAGTGACTGACACGTTGTCTCTTGTTGTCACATACAATAAAAGTATCACAAACTGTATTTACCGGGTGTTGTGAATGGGCCGAACTTGATGGGCTTTTCCATTTTTTTCAGCAAGGCAGAGCCATGGGACCTCCCACAGTAGCTATCCTTGTAGGGGTGTTCTCCACACAGCATGGCGTAATATATCACACCACTGGAACACCAGAGAACACTCGTTACTCTTATGATGTGGGAGGACCTGGTGGCCTCGTGGTTATTTTGTTCCGTTTTGGCACTTTTAATTGGCATTCATCTTCGGAGCGCGCACTCTGTAAACCATGACAGGAACGTTGTCTAAAACTGAAATACTAGTACGCCTTCGTATGAAAAGTCAACTGGGTCCGATATTGCAGCGTTGAGAATGCCGAAAACACGTGTTTTGGGCGGCAAAATGCATCAGCTTCATCTTTCACGCATCTGGCCCTTTACTGCATGTGTAAACAGACCCAATCCATTTGTACTAAATTTTACAAAATGCTGTCAGAGAAATGGGCTTGAACATGTTGAAGCCAATGCAACGTACACACTCCAAATATCCGCTGGCTGTCCTTGGTATTTCTGTCCCCGGATGATCTCAGGGGCAGCGTACGCATAAGACCCACAGAAAGTCGACAGGTACAGGTACTCAACAGAATCATCCAAGTAGCAGTCTGTCCTTTCCAGTGTGGTTGCAAACCCAAAGTCTGTGTGAAAACAGAACTGTAATGCCAGGAAAATGATATTACAACTGCTACTTCCCACCATATATGCAGGTGTATTCCCTTGTGGAATCTGGAGCTAGCACCAGGTGGCTTTTATCCCAGTTCAGAAGTAAATGAAAAATATGATAACAAATAGAAATGAATTTAGCGACCCACCTGTTATCTTCACGACATACTGTCCATCTAGTAGGATGTTCTCACATTTCAGGTCTCTGAAATTTTAGTATATGAATGTTGTAACTATATGTTCCTTTTTCCTCGTGAGGGTATGTTTCCTCCTAGAGACATTTTTGACTATCAATGCGTAGATTGTTTTCTTTGTTTTATTTATTAGCACACAGTATACACACAACATAATAAAGAACTAGAATGGTAACATTTGCAAAGCAAATGCATAATGTTTGCCTTCACTTATGGTCTGCTCTGTTAATTCTTACTCAAACACATTCATATATATGGTGACAGGAGTCTAAATCCCCCCTACTATAAAATTATAACATGATGTAACCCAACACTAGTTCATGGTAACAGACATCTAGTTCAGGTCATTGACCTTGTTTGTTTGGAGAAGAAGAAGAGGAAGAAGAAACAAGGCAAAAACAATGTTTTCCTTCCTCGAAGGTAAACATAGAAAAAGACTGTGCAGGAGGGACCGGAAGTCTAGTAGGTCTGTACTGAGCCCGCCTCATTAATAAATAATATATGATAGTATAATGATTAAAAGGAAATTAATTAACGAAAGCAAAGATATTGTAAACTAAACAAAACAGTTCACAATCATGACGAAGAAAACGGACAGAACAACCAATGTACTAGAAATTAATATGACTGAAATATTACACAAATGATAAAAAAACTAGTTGTAACCATAAATATGGTACTAGCATAACTTAGAAGTAACGGGGATTTGATAGGAAATGATGTTTTAGCTTACGTTTAAAAGTTAGAAGAGAAGTAAAATTCTTGAATGAGAGAGGAAGATCATTCCATAGAAGGGTGCATTTAAATTTCATACTCATTTGGGCCTGGGAGGTTCTGTACAGATGATGTGTAAGTGAGAGCTATCATAATGACGAGTTTGATAAACTAAACTCTCCACAGGTGACCGGGGAGCGATTGGTCGCTGACGATTGGTCAAGTTTCTCAGTGGGCACCAAGTCACTCGAAAGAGTTGTTTCTGTAGAAACACTCCCTTTTTTTGCATCAAAAGACTGCGGCAACTGATATCAGTCACTGGAGGAGAGATCTGTAAAATGTTTCGTCGCTAAATGGTCTCGCCTCTGTTGAAAGAGGATATAAGGAAAGAACGTCCTCACACCTGTGGACAATGTGTTGTTTGTGGCAGTAGTTTAAACCACACAGGATCTGACCAAGGAACCTGCGGACCACAGACTCGGGCAGGCCTACCAGACACCCCACCCGCCACTTGTTGATGAAGCCCAGCATGTCTCCATTAGATGCATACTGCAGAACGAGGTATCTCCGGTCACTTGTGTCAAACTGATCATGAAGACGAATCTGGACCGACAGAGAGAATAAATTAGTACCAAAGAAGCTATCATTCATGCAAGCCATATTGTCATCATAACAAACCTGAAACAGGCTTGATTTTTTTGTAATCAGAATGTCAACTCGGTTACATTTCACAAAGGTCTTTGTCTCAGTCTTGGATGGTAGGCACACCGAGTCACCTGCCAGATAGAGAAATATGCTACCTACATGTACTAGACATACACATTTGTTTGAGAGCGGAAGGAGTTTTCTGTGCCAAAGACATGTACGTTTGTTTCACACGAGAGTTTTCGTGTATACTTGTGTAAGGACTGGGATGTTCAGTACCAAGAACGCGTGTGTACAATGAGCAAGTATGCTGGTTTTCAGAGAAGGACGTTCAATGCCGGGGCTATGTACACCAATGGAACATACCACATTGTCGTGAGCTGACAGCGTCCTCATCGCAGTGATTTCTCGAGGTACAAACTTTCGTAGATACTCTTCTTCCTTTACGTTCACCTTTGCCTTCAATATAATCTTGACTGCAACCTGAAAACCAGGATGAACATAGCCCATAAGCACGCTATACTAGAAACAAAATAAGGGTTGTTTTGTCTTTAAAACTTGGAGGCTAGATGAGTCAAGCAATAAAAAGTTGGGACTACGACCCTCACCTACTCTTCTGTCCACCAGCAAAAGTCACTGCATACCGGAGCAGTCTACAGTACCTTACCTCTGGAACACACTTCCGCTACAGCAACGACAACTCCTTAGTCTCAGGACTTTTAAAGAGATCATTAGGAACAGAACTTTATCTAGTTGATGCTCTGGATGTTATGTTTATTAACTTGTTTACGTACTGTGTAGTTGCTGTTACGTCCTATTAGTTATTACCTCCGGGGAAGGAGACATGCCGTTGCTGTTTTCGCGGTCAATGTAATATTTCAGATGCACCCCTACAATTATGCGGCAAATTGGAGGGGGGAATTCAAACTTCATGCAGATATTTGGAGGGGTCGATAAGTGGTACCAGATGGTTTGAAGCCGTTTTTGGAAGATGTTCGCAGCCAAAACGCATTGTTCTGTGCGTAGCATTTCTGTGTAATTTGGCATGTGGTGTTCCATTATGTCCGTGATGATGCACGTCTTTTTTATTTTCACCGTAGCAGTTTTGATATTGAAGTAAATGCATATTTAAAAACATCCCTACTTTTACAATCCTGTGGAAGAGGCCGTAGGTTTAGGTAGCTGTCAGGTAGCCGAGGTTCTCTAAGCAGATATTGGGTGGTTGTCGTGCATAATGGTTGCGAGCATCTTTTGGGATTGTGGTTTGCACATCCTTTTGTTTTTATTACCTCCATGAAATGTGTCATGGAGGTTATATTTTCAGTTGAGTTTGTCCGTCCGTCCGTCCGTCCGTCCGTCTGTCAACAAGATAACTCAAAAAACGACCGGATGGATTGGTTTCAAACTTAGTAGGTTGGTAGGGTGTTGCGAAAGCTGGAAATGATGAGATTTTGGGCCCTTAGTGGCTTCCCTTGGTACTGCAGCGAAACTTCCGGTTTGGATATCTCGCGATCTGGACATGCTAGGGTCATGAATTTTAGATGGTAGGTATCTCTTGTCCTCGGTAAGAAGTCACGTGAGTTTGGGCCTCCTAGCAGCTTGTTCTGGAACTGCAGGATGGTTTATTTAAAAATCTTCAAGAGAGTATAACTGAACAACCGTTTGATGGATCGTCATGATTTTTGGTATGTAGTTAGCTTGAGTGATGCTTGTAATAATTGAAATACAGTTATGCAAATCAGGATCTAATTTTCATAATTAATGAGGAAATTCCATAAATCTGCTGTATTCCAAAATTGAGTAATGAAACACCAAAAAACAGTTACTCAAGCAACTGGATATGATTTTGAAAACGTCAGACGTTTCAGCTAGTATCCACTAGCTTTCGTCAGTGACTGAGAGACCAGAGGGGAAAGCAGGTTTTTAAGTACAACCTGTTTATTGATATGCAAATAAAGTAAAGACAAATTTTTGGAAGTCGAAAAAGGAACAAAAGTTAGACAAGTCAAGACAAAATGATGCAAATTAGTCTGACAGCTCCTGTTATACAGAACAGGAGCTTAAGTGTTGTCTGTCCTCGGGGCTGGGAGTGCCAAATCCCAAGTGCCGGAAAGATCGACTCGTAGCCCCCCTTCCCTGTTGAGGGTGGGGTTGTACATTCTTTCATATATTGCCTCTTTGACACCCCGTTCCCACCAGCGTGTTTCGCAGTCTAAGATATCCGTGGACTCGAGTTTGAAAGAGTGACCCTGGTTGTGTTGTAGGTGGTGGAAAATAGCTGAGGAGTAGCCGTTGGCACTAGGTCGGCAATGTTCTTTGTATCTTACTTTGAGCGGTCGACTTGTCTCTCCAATGTAGGTGTTGTTACAATTGGGCTCCTCACATTTGAGTCTGTAAATAACATTCGCCTTGGTACCTTTGTGAGGTCGGTCCTTAGGGTGTACCAGTCTTTGTCTGAGGGTTGAGTGAGGTTTGAAGTTAGTGGCTATGTTGAAGTTTTGGAAGATCCGTCGGAGTTTCTCAGATACTCCTTGGACATACGGAATAGTGATGTTGGCCTTGTTTTTGTTGGTCAATGGTTTGCACTTCTGGGTTTTCTTAGACTGATCTGAAGGTTTGAGCGCTTTGTTGAAAGTCCAGTTTTGGTAGCCACATTTAGCCAGGGCATTTCGGAGGTGTCTATGTTCGTCCGTTTTGGCTTGGTCTGAAGTGATAATGTTGTCTGCACGATGGAAGAGAGTTTTGATCACTGCTAGTTTGTGTTCCAAAGGGTGGTGGGAATCAAAGGCCAGGTACTGATCAGTGTGGGTTGGTTTCCTGTACACTTCAAAACGAAGGTTACCATCTTCCTCTACGATAGTTTTGGTGTCTAGGAAAGGGAGCATGTTGCCATGACTTGGCTCCTGTGTGAACTTGATGTTGTCATCTATCTGGTTGATGTGGTCAAAGAAATCAGCAGCTACCCTCTTTTTCAATCTGCACCAAGTGTCATCTACATATCGAAACCAGTTGGCCGGGGGAGTGTCATTGATCATATCCAGTTGCTTGAGTAACTGTTTTTTGGCGTATCGTATTACCTGGATGTCTAACCTTCATCGACGAGTAATGAAACACTTTAGACATATGTAATTGAGAACGACAAGATAATTGGCAGATATTGATTATGTAAATGAAAACCTAATTTGCATAATTAATGGAAATTGGTACGATTTTATGGTGGTAACTGCTGGGAATTTAATACTTGCCATTATTGGAAGTTCATTCATCCTACATATCTTGACCACCAAAAACGTTGTGTACATTTTGTGTAGATGTCGGTGTTACCAGTGTTACAGGGTTTGTTATGATGAATAACTGGTGAGTACGTTATTCGTCACTTAACTGGACCGTATCTGGACACAGAACTTGTGCCAAAATTTATATCCAACACCTAACACAACTTGGAACGCTAAATCTAACATATCAAATTTTTACCACCAACTACATATAACAAACAACATATAGAAATACAATAAGCAACGCGAGGGTATAAAATCTCAGATTTTCCTTGATGTGTGCACTTTTTATGCATATCCAGGATTACCTGTAAAACATGCCGAAATGGCCTGAGTTGTAATTACTGGTAAAATAAATGAAGAGAAAGTGAAGTGAAGTTGGTTTTAGTTACAAGATTTTGCATGGCAAATTTCACAAAGCAGTGGTTAAATATTTTTTTCTGCCAAAAAGATGTTTTCACTGTGAAGCGCCGTTTGAAAAAGTAAGCGAGTTCTGGAGGATTTATCGCTTGACGTAAACCTTCCTTATCTCCCTCCTAATTTGAAATCCATTTGAATCCGTTGTTGTTTTTGAAAGCGAAGTACTCGAAACTATCCTCTCGCCAATAACTTGTCGGAATATAATAAACTCCCTCCTGACCTTATCGTGGCCCTCCCGCTGCAGGTCGGTCTCCAGAGCCTTGTTGTTCATCAGAACCCCAGCCGTCACCTCGGCAAGTATCACCTTGGCGTAAGACCCTGAGCCCAAATTCTTTCCCAGTAAAATGTAGCCATGTTGGCGACACTCGAGAATAGCCGGGTCCAGATTGGTTGTGGTGAAGAGAGACTTGGCTTTCTGATACAAGCTACCCATTTTACCCCGGACAGAGTCGACGGTTTTCCCGGAGCGGGGCGTCAGTGAAATGGGGCCCGTCGTCACGGGATGGGCATGAACCGTTGGTTCCCAGTCCAGACTACTGAACTGGCACCTACCTGTCATGATGGCGTGTTATATAGAAACTGCTGGTGTGGGCTACTGGAGAGCTCGGGGGATATTGCTTGACAACCGTTCTAGAACATGTTTTGGCACAAACGAGCCTCTTATGTCGTCACATTGAGAAGACTATATTGTAATCCCTGCGACAGAATAACTACCCTGGTGATCAGTCAATCGCGGCTGGGGCGGGTTTTCTTCGAGGCTGCTGAAGGTCTTCCCCGCGCGCTTAAGCTAGGTTTCCCGGTAGGTTTTGCACGACGGTCGTCTGCGAGGTATGTGACAAAGAGTTTGCTCGTAAGTTCAACCTCGATCGTCATCAAGAAAGAAAACACCGAGACGAGTCAGCTGTGACCTCGGAGGAAGTCGTCGTAGAAAGCGGGATGTTTTTGACGACGACTCCGACATGTCTTATGAACATGAGTTGGACGCGCTTGATTCATCGGCCGACGAGGAAGATGAAGTGACATCGATGACGAAGATGAGGACTCAGACATGTCACAAGATGAAATAAATGTCTCAGACGAAGATGAGACCGTTGTGGACTCTGAGGAGGCAGAGTCAGTGACAGAAACCGACAGCGATCAGAGTGATTCTGAGAGTTATGCAAGCTCGGACGTGTCTTCCGACCCAGCTTCACCTGATGACAATGAAGAGTACGGCTACGACAGCGGTGACGAGGAAGAAGAGTGGACGCTCTTTCGAGACTGGACCATTCGACTCACTCAAGAACCAGGCGATGTCCCCCAACGCGTGATCAAGGAGACAAAACACGCTGGAAGAAGATTCTACCTTCTTTGCTGCGTTGCCTCGTTACAGTTACAAGATCGAATACAGCAAGAACTGGGTCTCGGAACAGACATTAATGAAAAAATATGGTTACCTCGTTCTGAAGTAATACAGCAGTAGCGGCGTCATACCATTGACAGTACAACTTTCTTTGTGGTGATATCTGTACCTGATGTTTGACATAACTTATGAGACGATCAATAAAGTGTGACGAAACCTACTGTCTTTTGCGCACACATACAAAGATATGCTATTTACCACTATAATTACTCCGGAGTGATCAGTTACTCCTAAGTTTATATAACATATATATATATATATCTTGGTGTCTCCATCTCCTCAAACTTGATCTGGGGCAGACATGTCGATTTAGTTACAGCGAAAGCAAACAGAACCTTAGGAATGCTAAGACGCTACCTGCGAATCTCAAGCAATGCGGCAAAGGAGAGAGCTTACATGGCTCTTGTAAGGCTCCTTAGAGTACGGCTGTAGTGTCTGGGATCCCCACACCAAGGACCAGGTGAGTAGGGTGGAGATGGTCCAGCGTAGAGCTGCCCGTTTTGTCAGCAGTGACTACAAGTTCTGTTACAACTATGTTGCAAAACCTGGGCTGGCAGTCTCTGGAAGTACGTCGGAAGATCGCCCGCCAGGTCATGTTTTATAAGATTATACATAATGCTGTCTCCGTCCCACACTCAACCAGGATTGTCCCGGTGGCTCGATGCTCCCGCCGCATCAATCACACTCAAACATTGCAGGCCATCGCGAGCAGAAACAACTTTTACAGGCTCTCGTTCTTCCCCCGCACCATCAAAGAATGGAATGAACTTGAGCCTGGTGCGGTGGAGGCGGGGTCTCTCGCCCAGTTCAAATCTGAACTGGCGAGGACCCTGCTGCATTGAGCCACCCCATCATGTCTTGTATATATGTAAATATTACTAACGCACTAATGCACTTGTCCCGTCTTTAGCACACACAAAATCAGTTGTCTTATGTTCCTTTGTCAGTTATCCTTGTTTTTCCCTTTGTTTCTTATGTACCGGGCACAATTGTTACTAACAATGCGTAACGACTGCCAATAATACTGCTGGGCAGTAACGAAGAAGTAAATATATATATATATATATATATATATATATAAAAAATTTGATATTTTACTCCGGAGCAACACGTTTATGAAGATTAATGTACATACATACACGTATGCGTGATGGGAACATACGTATACCTGTGCGTATATATAAAGTAAATGAATCACTCATGAGTCACTCATTCATTTGCTCAGGAGTAAATATATTTACAATATGTTACACACACACGCAAGCACGCGCACATATATTTATATATAGATAGATAGATATAAACATATAGATAGACACATCGATAGGTGCATGCATATATAACCGTTATATATATAGAGAGAGACAGAGTGAGAGAAATATATATATATACATATATACATATATACATACACATACACACACACACACACACACACACACACACATATATATATATATGTACAGAGAGGGAGAGAGAGAGAGTACCTACACATATTATTGTGCTAATAAGGGCGGCGCCAGCGGAGCCGGTCAGAGTCGCCCGGATTATAGGACCTCTCCGACGGACATATTACTACTGGTATACGTTATATAATGCCTTTCAAAAAATCATTTTAAAAACTAGAAAGGCCGACATTTGCTTGGGAGCGAATACAGTATATTTCAGTCCATCTCCCTCCCACGCAAAAGTGGACTATTCCAAACTTACCCCAGTGTAAAACTGGCAAAGGTTCTCAAATAAATGAATTAAATAGTAGCTATATGAGAACAAAGATGCAACAACAAGTACTTTGAATCTCGAAAGCTTTACTAATCTTATTACAGGTATGCAAAAACTAACAATGGTGAGATTTGATACATTTTGAAGGTCTTAGGCACAAAAAATTGAATGTGTGGGTCATTACGCACCACTTCAGGTAACTCGCAATGGAACACGTGTTCCATGGATGGAACCGGCCATTCTTTAGATAGAACATGGAACGGGTACAGCACTTTTGGCCCTTTTTTTGCTGAAAATAGCCATTAAAGTCCCCCAAATGAGTCATTTGGAAGTGGCGTGTGCCAAATACATCACTGCTATTCTGTAGACACACGTTAAAGGTACCCTTATACCGAATGTCATATCATTTGGTTGTAATATCGGGGCTCAGGATCCAAAAATCCATTTTTTGTCGAAAAAATGCCCCAAAAAAACTTCATAAAAATTTTTCAAAGGCATGTTTCAAAAAAATGTAAAAAACGTCTGGGGGTATTTGCCCACTCTACCTCCATGCCAAATTTCAGGTCATTTGGGTGAATGATAGCGGAGTTGAATCCCTTTGACTGTTTGGCAGGAAGAGGAGAAGGAGGAGGAGGAGAAACATGAGGGAACACAATATATTTCATCCATACCATGGTATGGACTGAAATATAATAATTGAAACTTGAGTCCCACGATCTCATACTTTCGCTAAATGATGTTAATCTTTATGACTGACAAAGATGATTCCTCCTGATTATGCAAATAGGATCCTCATTTGCATGAATTTGCATCAGTTGATCATATTCTCCATAAAAAGACAGCCTTATCTTAACAAAGAATGCCATTCTATCATTTCCTCATAAATTATGCAAATGTGGTCTTATTTGAATAAGTTATGTTTAATGATTTTCACCTTCACTTAAATTTCAAATACCCCAAGTATGAAATTCCAGGCAGTTAGCATTATGGAATTATAACATTTTCTCATTACTTATGCAAATCAAGTGTTAATTTACATAATCAATATCTACCTGTGTTTCTCTCGTTCTCAATTACATATGTCACAAGCTTGAATAGTCCTATAATGTAATGAAGCTTTCCTCATTAATTATGCAAATTACGTCCAGATTTGCATAATTGTCGCATAATTATATCAAGCGTCACTTAAGCTACCTACATACCAAAAATCACGACGATCCGTCCACCGGTTCTTGAGTTATCCCCTTTTGAATCTTTTCAAACAGATAGCCCTGCAGTTCCTGAGCAAGCCGCTATGGGACCTAAACTCACGTCACTTCTTCCCCAGCATGAGAGCTACCTACCATCCAAATTTCGTCACCCTAGCATGTCTAGATCATGAGATATCAAAACCGGAAGTTCAGCTGCATTACCGTAACAAGCCGCTAGGGGGTCCAAAATCTAATCATTACGAGGTCTCATCAAGACCTACCCACCTACCAAATATCAAGATAATCCATCTAAGCTTTCTCGAGTTATGCTGTTGACAGACACACAGACACAGACAGACAGACACACGGCCAGGAAAACATAACCTTCGTCAATTCTTGCCGAAGGTAACAATCGTGTTGGACTCAGTAAACTTAGCCGTGTGCACTTGATACATCATGGTGCATTATGTATATCACTATATCATATATAAATGTAGATGTGATATGTGCACAAAACTGTTGCAAGGATACTTGATTCCTCTAGAGAAATGCACTGATAGAAGAGGATCATCACTTACTTACTCATGACCTCAGCTTGAACCAATCCTGAGAGACTATTCCACAGCACTTTATCCACTCTGTATTTGATGTGTTGTTGCACAAGCACAACACTCTATATGTATGGCTAATGCCACTATAATCTTATTATTATAATTTTTTATTGTCTTACCTTTGTAGAATACAGTAAATAACGTCAATGCTTGGCATGTAATCTGATGAACATGATGGCGTGGTCTAGATTGTCCGTTTGTTGCAAAGTATGATGCTTATTCAAACCAATATTCGATACCAAATGAATAAATAAATGATTAATCAGACTTTTACCGTGTGATGCTATTTGCCTTGTGGTAATAGGTCTGTAAAATATCTACATTTTAGTTGTTTCTGTTATGAAACTAACTAGTGTAAGGGTTGCTGTGTAGAGAATGTTGCCTGTGCAGACTGTAGGTTAAAATAGAGTATAGATTGTATGCATGCAGATTGTATGTGCATTTTGTATAGTGTAATCACATTCACCCTGTCGGGTGACCCAGATTCCTCCACAAATCCTTATACCACAATATATCACTTTGCATTTGAATAACCTACCTGTTCACTTTGTGGATTAGAATGTAGATTCACCATTGTAGTATTGACCTCGGATAGTAGTACGGACACGTAGATGGAAGATAGCACTTCTGTGCAGAATGCTGCTGTTTCTTTAACCTCTGTACAATGAATAGCTTATCATTCACATATGCAAGAACCTGAACTTGAATTATTTTTAGGGATAAGCAGTGACTGAAGCATAACATTGCAGGAAGTATAATTTTGGATACTATATCATAAGCAAATGGCTCCAATACTCTTTATTCTTTTGCCATAAAAATTGTATTCTATCATAGACTTTGTAACTTTTGTAAGGACTTAGAGATTTTCTCGGATGCCTGAAATGGAATTTGTACACAGGCAGTGAAACATGTCAACATGGTTCTTAGTATTTGTAAGTAGTGTGCAGTTTATTCAATGTTTGTATGGTTTCAAAGTATATATAGACCATGTCGGTATAGTCTCCAGTTCTGTGTAATTAGAGCTTCAGAGTAGTTACAATCTCGTCATTAGTAGTATTTAGATGCCTGCAATATATAAGATTGAGATAAGTGTAAAGTAATGCTGTGTGTAAAGTGCTTGTCCTTGTATCTTTGTAAAAAAATGTGAGACAATTGTCAAGTGCCATTTTTGTAAATAGCTGATAATTAGATAATTGAAGTATGATTTATTTAGAATCTTCCATTTTTGTTTTGGGAGGGAGATGGAGTGAAATATTGTACTGATTTGCTCCGAAGCAAATGTTGGCCTTTCTAGTTTAGAAATAGTTTAGAAATGCTTTCAATTCTTTGATGTTGTTTGTCATAGAAATTTCATAGTTTGGAAATATTTTGAATATCTTCAACATTTTAAACAATGTCCTGGTTTTGTAAAACTTTTTAAATATTCCTGATGTGGAATAGAACATTTCCAATAGTTTCTAAATATTTCAAACAGCATTCTACCATTTTTTTACCATTATTTACAATAACTTATACAATTTTTGTACCTTTGGTTCAAACCTTGAAAAGTCCATTATTTGCATTTCTCCACGGCTCCACCCTGTACATGCTTAGATGATCAACAGATCTAATCTCCAAGCAGATCTTTTGGTGGGGATAAGAGAGTATCAAATTGGCCAGTCTGTACAGTCTGGTTACAGACTGACCAAATTGATACTGTCTTACCCCCACCAAAAGATCTGCTTGGAGATTAAACAGATCCACCCCTTGGCTGGGAGCGAGGGTTGAGTGAGGTTTGAAATTTGTGGCGGAAGATCCGTCGGAGTTTTTTCGGATACTCCTTGGACATACGGAATGGTGATGGGGGCTACGGGTAGATCTTTCAGGCACTTGAGACTTGGCGCCAAGGACAGGCAAGACTTAAGCCCCTGACACAACAGGAACTTCTTGGCTAATTTGTCTCATCGTTGTCTTGAATTGTCTAACTTTTGTTTCCTTTTGGACTTCCAAAACTTGTCTTGCATATCAAGCAATAGTTCGTACTTTTGAACCTGCATTTCTCCTGCAGTCTCTTAGCGTCACTGACGGAAGGTAGTGGGTGCTACCTGCAACGTCTGACCGTTTCCAAAATCATCTCCAGTTGCTTGAGTAACTGTTTTTAGCGCATCTTATTATCTGGATGTCTAACCTTCACTTACACACACATGCATACACACACGTATATACATAACGGCATGCACACTGTCATGTGTACATGCATACAATGTAGATATATTCATACATGCACAAATCGGCGCACACATAAATCTAATCACTATAATTCATCATTAGTGCAAGGCACCACCACCCCTGGTTGTGGCATATGTACACGCTTTAAACAGTACATGACGTGTTCTAGGCCTTCAAGTGGCCCTCGGACAAGCTCTGCGTAGACTTAAGAACACTCTTGGTTGCTTACTTGCTTGGTTACCAAAGAAAATGTCAACAACACTTTGGATTCTCGTTGTTTGCCATGCCATTGTTGCTCCGTGTCGGAATTTAACTTATCCAGCTTCAAGTGCCATTAGATATGGTATTTAACTGTTTACTTAACGTGTTACCGGTACAACGCCGAGTTGTTGTTACAATGCAAAATGATGACCACAAACATATTTTCACATTCACATGGTCATTTATAGTCTTCAATGTCCATCACCTATGCTTGATGAATTTCATGTTGTTTTGCTTTGGATGGATGCGACGGAGAACGCTTGGACAGGGGCGTTTCTACCGTGATGTGGATTTCTATTTTCATTAAAAAATAATTGAAAGAAGTATCTAGATTTTAATGTCTATTAATTCATGATAATAAAGGTATGACTTGTTCCCACGATGAAAAATACTGAACACCTGATGATGTGGCAGATCGCATTTGTTTTAGGTTTGTGGTACTTAAGCCACGATATTTATGACTCTCGTCTCGATACTCACCAAAGATCAGTCGATAGCACAAGTACCGCTTCCACCATCGCGTTGTATTGTAAGGTTCACTCGAAGAGAAAATGGCAACAGCAACTGACGTCTCGTATGAGAAGCACAATGATGATGTGGAGAACATCGTTCCCGAGTTCGGACCGAGCCCCAAACCTACCGATGGTGGGAGTTCTAAGATGTGGACTCTTCCGGTAGTGACCAGTTTGGGGCTCACTAGGAGAGAGCTGGTGATCGGTGGCTGTCTGGTCGGACTGATGGTTATTGTTCTCATCCTCGCCGTTGTTCTGGGCGTTTTGGCAGCCAGACAGGCTACTCCCTTAGTGGTTGATGTACCCTGCTCTGATGCTGGCTGCCTACAGGCCACAAGTCAACTCCTACAAAACCTGAACACGTCTGCCAAGCCTTGTGACGACTTTTACAGGTACTCTCTGTTACGCACTTGCTTTTGACCGTTGATTTCGTTTGCTTGTCCGTGCCTTGTTTTAATCCCCACAAAGCTCTAATACCTCACCTTGTGTCAAATGTCCTCACTCCCACTCACCCGATGTGAACCCATGCATCAAACTCAATGTACACACTGACACATGTATGGTCGGTTGTACATTCTTTCATTTCAATATATTGCCTCTCTAACTACTCGTTCCCACCAGCGGGTTTTGCGGTCTAAGATAACCGTGGATTCGAGTTTGAAATAGTGACGCTGGTTATGTTGTGGACGGCGGAAAATGGCTGAGTCTTCAAAACCCGCTGATGGGAACGAGGAGTTAGGGAGGCAATATAGAACTTTATTGACACAACAAAAGTACAGCGCTTTTCGTCAGGTCTAAAACTACATGTAGACATAAAAATATGAAACTAGAGTTCCCCGATCTCATACCTTCGCCAAATGATGTTAATCTTTATGACTGACAAATTATAGATTAGATTATTCCCCCCTGATTTAAGAAATAGGAACCTAATTTTCATGAATTATATCATTTTATCATAATCTCAACCAAAAGACAGTCTTATATTAACAAACAATGCATTCTAGCATTTCCTAATAAATTATGCAAACGAGGTCCTGATTTGAATAAATTATGTTTAATGATGTTCACCTCAATTTAACTTTCAAATACCACAAGTATGAAATTCCAGGCAGTTATCATTACATAATTATAAAATTTTCTAATTAATTATGCAAATTAGGTCATTATTAACATAATCAATATCTTCCTGTGTTTCTCTCGTTGTCAATTACCAATGTCACAAGCTTCAATTGTCCTATCATGGAATGCAGATGATTTATAGAATTTCCCCATAAATTATGCAAATTACATCCATATTTGCATAATTGTCACATAATTATATTAAGCATCAAGTAAGCTACCTACATAACAAAAATCACGACGATCCGTCCACCGGTTCTTGAGTTATCCCTTTTTGAATATTTTCAAGAATATATCCCTGCAGTTCCAGAGCAAGCCGCTAGGGGGCCTAAACTCACGTCACTTCTTCCCCAGCACAAGAGCTACCTACCATCCAAATTTCATCACCATAGCATGTCTAGATCATGAGATATCAAAACCGGAAGTTCAGCTGCAGTACCATAACAAGCCGCTAGGGGGTCCAAAATCTAATCATTTCGAGGTCTCATCAAGACCTACCCACCTACCAAGTATCAAGACAATCCATCAAGGCCTTCTCAAGTTATCGTGTTGACAGACAGACACACACACACACACACATACACGAACGCCCCTGAAAACATAACCTTCTTGGCGAAGGTAATAATGTACAACCCCACCCTTAACAGGACGGGGGGGGGCTACGGGCAGAACTCTCAGGCACTTGTCTCTTGGTGCTCCCAGCCCAAGGACAGGCAACGCATATTAGTTCCTGTTCTGAAACAAAAGGAGCTGTTTGGAAAATTTGCATCATCCTTGTCTTACTTTTGTTTCATTTTGGACTTCCAAAAATTGTCTTCACTTATTTACATATCAACTAGAGTCGCACGATCTCATACCTTCGCCAAATGATGTTAATCTTTATGACTGACAAAGATGGTTCCTTCTGATTATGTCAAAATATGCAATTATATTTCAGTCCATACCATGGTATGGATGAAATATATTGTGTTCTCTCATGTTTCTCCTTCTCCTGTCAAACAGTCAAAGGGATTCAACTCCGCCATCATTCAGCCAAATGACTTGAAATTTTGCATGGAGGTAGAGTGGGCGTTTTTAAATTTTTTGATACATGCCTTTGAAAAATTTTGATGAAGGTTTTTTGGGGCATTTTTTCGACAAAAAATTGGATCTTTGGATCCTGAGCCCTGGTTTTTACACCAATAATCTGAAATTCGGTATAAGGGTACCTTGAACATGTGTCTACAGAATAGCAGTCACATATTTGGCATACACTACTTCCAAATGACGCATTTGGGGGACTTTAATGGCTATCTTTCAGCAAAAAAGGGGCCAAAAGTGCTATACCCGTTCCATGTTCTATCTAAAGAATGGCTCGTTCCATCTGCTGTTGGCCATGGAACACGTGTTCCATTGCGGGTTACCTGAGGTCACATTGCTCGTAAGTCGTGCGCAATGACCCACACATTCAATTTTATGTGCCTAAGACCTTCAAAATGTATCAAATCTCATCATTGTTAGTATTTGCATACCTGTAATAAGATTAGTAAAGCTTTCGAGATTCAAAGTGCTTGTTCTTGCATCTTTGTTCATCATAGCTACTATCTAATTCATTTGAGAACCTTTGCCAGTTTTGCACTGGGGTAAGTTTTGCGTGCCAGGGAGATGGACTGAAATATGCTGTATTTGCTCCCAAGCAAATGTCGGCCTTTCTAGTTTGTATCATATTTATATTATAATATTGTATTATATAGTTGATCATATTCTCCATCAAAAGACAGCCTTATCTTAACAAAGAAAGCCATTCTATCATTTATTATTATGCAAATGAGGTCATTATTTGAATAAGATATGTGTAATGATGTTGACCTTCACTTAACTTTCAAATACCCCAAGTATGAAACTCCAGGCAGTTAGCACTATAGAATCATAACATTTTCTCATTAATTATGCAAATTAGGTGTTAATTTACATAATCAATATCTGCCTGTGTTTCTCTCGTTCTCAATTACATATGTCACAAGCTTGAGTAGTCCTATAATGTAATGCAGCTGATTTATTGGTTATGCAAATTAGATCCAGATTTGCATAATTGTCGCATAATTATGTCAAGCGTCACTTGAGCTACCTACATACCAAAAATCACGACGATCCGTCCACCGGTTCTTGAGTTATCCTCTTTTGAATATTTTCAAACAGATAGCCCTGCAGTTCCTGAGCAAGCCACTAGGGGGCCCAAACTCACGTCACTTCTTCCCCAGCATGAGAGCTACCTACCATCCAAATTTCGTCACCCCAGCATGTCTAGATCATGAGATATCAAAACCGGAAGTTTAGCTGCAGTACCATAACAAGCCGCTAGGGGGTCCAAAATCTAATCATTTCCAGGTCTCATCAAGACCTACCCACTTACCAAATATCAAGATAATCCATCTAAGCTTTCTCGAGTTATGCTGTTGACAGACACATAGACACAGACAGACACACGGCCAGGAAAACATAACCTTCGTCAATTCTTGGCGAAGGTAATCAATCGTACTTGCTTAAACCTGCTTTTCTGAGAGGTCTCCAGTGTCACTGACGAAAGGTAGTGGATGCTATCTGAAACATTTTAACGTTTCCAAAATCATATCCAGTTGCTTGAGTAATGAGTAACTGTTTTTTTTCTCAATTTTTATGGTTATTTGTTAGAGAATATTTCCATTATTGTGGTATCGCAGATAGCAAAGAGTTATAATTCATTTCTTCTAAAAGAATTCATATCAAATTTGTATTGCCATGTTAGAGTCTCAACGTCCAGGAAGAAGCCATTCTCAAATACAATACAATATCATTCACTGTAGTGATAGCTGCTTTTAACCAATGTTTGTATATGATTGGCCTCCATCCTATGCAAATGAATCTGTTACTAGTATTTCAGAGCATGGGCTCGTACAGTGTAAAGTTATAATGTTCTGCCTAGGACTAATCATACGTATGACATACGAGGGCTGTTCAAAAAGTTCTCGGCCTCACCCAAAAAACGTCATGGCATAACAATTGTTCTTACAATATTTTTCAACATAGTCCCCTCTAACTTCAATGCACTTGGTCCAGCGATGTTCCAGGTTTGCTTTCTCCTTGTGTATGAAGGTTGCATCTGGAGCCCCCCAGATAGGCCTCAACCGAATTGATAACGCCATCACCGCCTTAATTTTATGGATGACATCCGCGAGCGCATTAATTTTCGCCTGTTCGCAAAAAAACAGAGAGCATCCAATTTGACATCAGTTGGAAAGTTTGAATTGGAAGTAACTGTAGCTCTTGCTGTGATCTAGTTCTAGGCCTGGTAGTTACCGACAATACGGAGTCGGGCACCCAGGCTACCGAAACTCCACGACTTAAGAACTCAGTACCAGCTTTGTATTCCTGTGATTTAGTAGCACTTTTATTTTTGGTCGCGCTCACTAGTTTGGGGGTCTTCAGAGGATGTCATCCATAAAATTAAAGGGGCATTATGTGACTTTTTAACAATACAAAAAGTATATTTTCCATTCGTTTCTTTACATGGTACGTTGACTTAACCCTTTAGTATTCCAGAATAATACTCAGCGACAAAAAATACAACATCCTCGCTCCTTATAAGCCTAGAAAACTGTGATTCTCTTCAAAGCGTTCTGCACCCACTGTTTGCTCTGCTGTTTTTATTCGGGGTGAAAGTGGTGAACCCAGGCCTCATCTTGGGTGACAAATCTTTTGAGGAAATTGCCTGGATTGGACTGAATCCGTTCCTTGAAATGTCCAGGCTGTTTAACTTCTGATCTGATGTTCAGACAACATTCTAGGCACCCACCGTACAGACAGCTTGCTCATCACCAAGATGTCCGACAAAACATTGTGAACTGAGTCACAAGTCAGGCCAAAGTATCTGCTACATGACGGACAGTCCCACGTCTGTCATTCACTATCAGGCAAAGAATGACCTCAACTGGATTGTCCGTGGTGCTGATTTTAAGGCGTCCCGACCTGTGTTCATCTTTCTTGCTCTCCTTGCCGCGCTTGACGTTGGCAGCCCATTGCTTTACAGTTGAATAAGATTCCCTTATCAGCAAATGTCTTGATGGATTTCCATGGGAGACATCCCTCTTTATCGATCACAACACGGGTTTCTGTTGCAACCATTTTGTGATTTTGCTCTCACCTGCTGATTTTCACGTGGCGTCACGTGCTAATTAATGAATATCAAAAGTTGTATTTCTGTGGGCAGTGACGTACGTAAGACGTCATAGTATAAAGTTATACCCCATAATGGGGGTTTCAACTATTTCAGGTGAGGTCGGAAACGTTTTGAACAACCCTCGAATGAACTAGTAACTGAAAACCAGAGGAACATCGATAGATACGTAAATGTAGAATTTATGTAAATATAGCTGAGTGTTGGACTGAAACTGTCTCAAAGCAGTATGGGTAAGGGATGAAGTCTGCCTTGTTGTCCTTCTATAGCTACGCATGTGGAGGCTGGATGCTGACCCACCCCATCGCTCCTGCTGACTTGGAACGGACAGTTCATCTCGACGTCTACAACCAGAATGCCGAAAAAATCCGACGGCTTTTGGACACCCCAGTTGCATTCTCCGACACACTGGCTGATCAGAAGGTACCGACGTTACCCGCGCACACGTCACTTGACATAATTTTATCCGTCTTGTTCAGATTTTTCAAGTTTGAAATTTTCCAAGAATACACACACAACGCTAGCCTGGGTGCCGTCCTCCATATTTTTTGCCGGCTGCCTAATGTCGCTGACTACCACGGCACCCAGTCTAGTACAACGCTGCAGTTACACCCAGTCTAGTACAACGCTGCAGTTGCACCCAGTCTAGTACAACGCTGCAGTTACACCCAGTCTAGTACAACGCTGCAGTTACACCCAGTCTAGTACAACGCTGCAGTTACACCCACTCTAGTACAACGCTGCAGTTACACCCAGTCTAGTACAACGCTGCAGTTACACCCAGTCTAGTACAACGCTGCAGTTACACCCAGTCTAGTACAACGATGCAGTTACACCCAGTCTAGTTCAACGCTGCAGTTACACCCAGTCTAGTACAACGCTGCAGTTACACCCAGTCTAGTACAACACTGCAGTTAAACCAACAGACATGTATAGAATATACCCTTTCTTTTCTAGAAACTGAACCAATGTTTAACCTCCACTGCATATGTGAAAGTGCTATCCTTTGGCAGAATTTGAAGAAATATAAGGAAAAACAATATTTCAGCCCATACTATGATAATCCCACTCCCAACACTATAACATTACAGTCCTCTAAGAACAATATATTCTGTCAGTAGTAGTGATGACATACACAAAACACTAGGAGGGATTTGCCAAATAGTGTATTTAACAGCAAGAGCTACAGTTACTTCCAATTTAAACTTTCCAACTGATGTCAAATTGGATGCTCTCTGAGAAAATTTAGGTACATGTAGCAGCCATCTTGGACCAGTTATTTGCATACGACCAGAATTTGCATACGACCAGCCATTTGTCCTAATACTATGTCCTACTGTGAGATCTAGGCCGTGTCTATGGCCGTGTCTAAACGGAATCACCCAAGGCGGTTTACATGTGGTTTACCCCGAAGCCGGTTTCAAGTGGCTCCACGTGAACGCTCCGAAATCACATTGAAAGCGCCTCGATCCCAAGCCACTTCTAGAGGTGGTTTCGAATCGGTTTCCCCGCATTGCGATTTGCGTCTGAAAGCAATGTGATTTCAATGTAACTTCGCCTGGTCATGGATTACGGGGGTGATATTTCTTTTTTTTATATGCAATACCAACTTTTACGTGGCAGCAACTTAAAGAGCAGTAATGGTCAAATAATGTGTCCATTCTAGGGCGAGCTTCACCGCCTCTGGCGGGACCACGTTGGCGTTCGGCCGAGATACGCTGGAGGGGGGCATCAGCAAGCAAGTCGTTGACCTCTGACATTAATAACACGCCACCTTGCGTGTAATCATCAAACAGCAATAAATGTAGCTCAAGCGTATTGTGATCGGACACGGTTTCACAGGTGTGTGTGGCACGTGAACCAGATGTGAGGAATGTGAGTTACCCGAATCGCGGTTTGGGTGATTCCACATAGACACGGGCCTAGTCATTCCGCCGCCTACGTGGAGACTAATCCAGTTCTGGACCACAGTGTCTCAACCACCATGAGT